CCTCTCGCCCTCCTTGCCCCAGGACCCAGCGCCGCAGCCTCATCTAGGAGGAGCGGTCCAGTCCCGGGCCCACAGGCCTCTGGCCTTAATGGCTGAGTCCACAGTCCATAGATAGCAGGGCCCTGGACGTTTTGTAAAAACATGTCCAGGGTTTGGGGGAAAATATAAAGAAAGCAGCATTTTTGGCTGATTGTGCAGGGCAACCCAGTGCGTGTTAACATTCAAAGGGCGGCTGGAAAAGGTTTAATCGATTGTGGTAACTCATAATTTTGATGCTTGGGCCTAAGATGAAGACAACCTTGGGGAGGCCGCGACGGGTTGTCAGGAAGCCCGGAGGCTGGCAGGGTTCTCAGAAACCCGCACGGTCCCCTCACTTCATAGAGGAGGCTGGGTGGCCTTAGGGTCGGGGGCAGGACCCGCCCTACCTGGGACCCGCAAAGGTGTCTGCACCAGCATGGATGGGGCGGGTAGGGAAGAGGGGCTGGGAATGTGGATCGCTGCTCTCCCAGGCTGACCTGTAGGGGTCGACCCCTCACAGTCCAAACACTGACTCTTGAGTGAAAGGGGAGCTCTTTACTCTGTCTGGGCCATAGGCATGACTCCAGAATGTCCAGGGCTAATCGGGATGCAGGATCACCCTGCTGGACTGAGGCTGCCAGAACCCGGCAGGAGGCCAGAGGGAAGGGGGCACTTTAGAATCATCCCTGGAGGCTTATGCTGATTTTGGATTGGGTTTCTGTCACTGGCATTCAAGAATCTAATATGATAGATGTAGGTACAAATTGGTGGTTTCATGGCTGATAGCCAGAGTGATTGAAAGTCTTCCGAGATGTTACTTGAGACTTGAATCAACTTTCAAGATGTAGAGGCTGGTTTTAAGAACTCTGGAGCTTAAACTGGTAATGTGTCATTGTGCTCTATGGGGAGTGATCTACTCTCAAGAATTTGGAAACACAGTGGACCCTTAACAGCCGGGGTTTGAAAGTGCTGGTCCACTTATATTCTGATTTTTGTCAACAGTCAATGCTACAGTACCGCATGATCGGTGGTTGGTTGAATCATCAGATGAAGAACTGCAGAAAAGAGGAACTTCAGACTCAGAGGGCCGACTAAGTTATACTCAGATTTTCGACCTCGCAGAGGGTAGACGCCCCTGACTTGTGTTGTTCAAGGGTCAACTGTACCTGTAAACACCCTGAGGGGAGGTAAAGGGTTATTTTGTTCCCGCATTCCAGTGGTTCTCAAACTTGAGTGTGTGTCAGAATCACCTGCAGGGCTTGCTGAAACACAGATTCTGGGACCCACCTCAGAGTATCTGCACTTCTAACAAGTTCCTAGGTGATAGTGATGTCACTAACCTGGAGACCACCTTTTGAGAACTATTCTTTATTAGAAGGAAAAGAACAAACAGCTATTGAACACTTAGGATGTGCTAAGCCTATTTCATTTTCCCCCTTTATTGTCTAAGATATAATTCACATTTCATAAAATTCACCCTTTTAAAATACATAGTTCAGTGATTAGTGTATTCCCAAAGTTGTGCAACCATTAACACTATCTATCTGCAAAGGAGGAAATCCAGCTCCAGGAGGAAGGCAAAGCCCTGAGGGGACCAGGGAGAGAGCACAGGGATAACTGGGATGCAGGATCACCCTGCTGCACTGAACCTGCCAGAACCCAACAGGAGGCCAGATGGGGCACTTTAAGATCATCCCTGGAGGCTTATAGGTGGCTGAGAGGTGGCAGCGGAATTCCAGAATATTTTCATCACTTCATAAAGAAACCTCTTATCCATTAGCAGTCACTTCCCCTTCTCCATCCCCCTCCACCCCCAGCAACCACCAGTCTATTTCTATCCCTTTAGGTTTTCCCATCCGGACATTTCATATAATTGAAATCATACAGTGTGTGGCCTTTCATGACTTGCTTCTTTCACTTCCCATAATGTTTTCCAGGTTCATCCATGTTGTAGCAGGTGTCAGTACTTCCGTCCTTTTCATGGCTGAATAATATTCCACTGTATGGATATACCACATTTTATTTATTCATTCATTAGTTGATGGGCATTTGGGTTGTTTCCCCTTTTGGGCTATTATGGATAGTGCTGTTGTGAACATCTATATACAAGTTTTTGTGTGAATGTGTTTTCAGTTCTTTTGGGTAGATCCCTAAGAGTGGAATTGTTGGGCCACATGGTAAAGCTGCAAACTGTTCTCCAAAGCAGCTGTACCATTTCACATTCCCATCAGTAATAGGTGAGGGTTGTAGTTTCTCTGTATCTAGTCAACACTTACTACAGTCTAATATATTTTTTTACTATAGCCACCCTAGCAGGTATAAAGTAGTATCGCATGTGGTTTAGATTTGCACTTCCCTAGTGGCTTATGATGATGTTGAGCATCTTTTTAGGTATGTGATGGTCATTTGAATGGTTATTTACATATCTTCTTTGGAGAAATGTCTCTTAATATTCTTTTCCCATTTTAAAATTGGGCTGTCTTTTTATTGTTGAGTTGTAAGAGTTATTTATATATTCCAGATACTATACTGTTATCAGATGTATAATATTAAACCTAGTTCTTTCATTATTTTAAATCGAATCCTCACATGTTTACCCTATGAGGTAGGTATTTTAAAATCCCTATTATAGAGATAAAACTGAAACCCAGACAGGTGAAATGATTTGCCAAGTTCATCCTAGTAAGTGGTGGAGGTAGTTTTAATGTCCAGAACTTTTTGGTTCCAACTCTTTCTTACATGTATTGGACACTTGCTGTGTTTGCCCCAGCATTTACTTCTCCCCAGGAAGCATCATGATTCTGCCTTCCAGCTCTCAGGTGAAGCTGAATGCACTCCTGGGCCACACAAGTGGAGCCCATGCTGGCCTCGGCTGATGGTGCATTCTACCTCTGTGACCACAGTGGATGGAAACGGCCATGTGTTTCCAACCAAGCCAATCAGGGTCAAGGAGATGTCATTCTGGTCTGGGTTACCTCATGGGGAAGTAGACCAGCTCCTGAGCTGGTGGGCCTACCATCTCCCTGAGCCTGAGAGTGGAGTTTACCTGGAGGAACCAAAGTTGCAGATGTGTCCTGGTGTCGGCGACTGAGGGCCACGCCATGCCATAACTGAGGTGAGCATGGCATTTTAGCTTCTGTGAGCACTACACTTCCCTTTGGCTTAAGCCAGTTTTGGCTGGGGTTTCTGTCATTTGCAACCAGAGAAGTCCTCACTGATACAAGTAATCACCAACAAGACTCCACGCGGCCAGAGCATCTTTTTCAATAGGTTTTTATTGAAATGGTTACATTAGTAAATCCCACATATACAGGTATACACTATCGGCATACAGGTACACACCGTACAGGTTCACGGTTTAACTATGCTTACATCAACCATATGGGCCTAGGAGTTGTGCTGCCTGAACACTTCAAAGGGCTAAGATCTGATGGCCAAGAAATCAGCTCGCGTTCATTGCAGGTGCCCGTGTTCTAGACACGGTGACCCCCCCCCCGTTGTGCACCCCCTAATTAAGCTAATGATCAATTCTGCTTCTTGGAGATTTGATGTGCGTTCTTCCTGGCACAAGCTCTCCAATAGTGAACTAAAGTCAAGTGCACTGTGTAACCTTCCATCCATCAAGGTGGACGATAAGCTATTTGCCACACTTAGGTTTATCCCAAGCCTCCCCCACCCCAAATTCCCTGTGCTATAGTTAGAAAAATAGCTTTGGATGCTGTCCTCTGAGATGTTGTGCATAGTTAGCAGGAACCCAGAGTAAGAGGAGCTCTCCGAACGCCCCAAATGTGAAAGGGGTTCACTTTAATATTTTATATATAAAAGCTACTGAGGGTCAAAAACAATTGTGACATATGTGGCCTGGGGCTCGGACCATCTCCTTCTCTTGTACAGTAACAGACTGTTCCATAAGGTGGTGACAGTGTGACAGTGTCCCCTGGAGTCCAAACAGCATTTCCTAGCTTGGAATCTTTTCCTATTCCTGTGATCATGGTCGAGTTTCTTTAGCCAGAGCCATTGCCACTCAGGAGAAGACCCTGCTTTGCACGCTCAGCTTAAGACACCAGATTCTTGCCTTAAGCACGGGCCAACGGTGCCTCTCCTCCAGGTGGGTCAGCAAGGCAGGCCTGGGCTGCCAGGGGATGAATGGACATGGTACCCGCTCCACTCCTCTCCAGGATGGCATGTGTCATCTCAGGCTGGGAGGCTGGGACCCTGGCACTGGCCACACCCAGTGACCTGGTCCGCACAGCAGGCTGGTAGGCACTAGGCAGTTAGCCTTTCTGCTTAGGGACAGCTCACTCACCTTAAGGGAAAGAAATGGCCTCGGATGTAAGAGTCTACCTACCCTCCCCATTTCTGTTTTGACAAACATCTTGGCTCAGTAGCGCCCAGTCACTATAAAAGTCCTTTAATATCACATAGTGTAAATATCCTTGGGCTTAATTACTGATGAAGGATCATTCCAAAAGCAGATTAGAATTCCCTTGGTGTTGGGTTAAATTTGTAAAACATTGCTCAGATCATTCATCTGCCACTCTCAGCAGCTGCCAGTAAAGAGAGCTGGAGAGAGAGGGCGATGATCAGCTGAGGGGTAAGGAGCTGACGAAGGCCAGTCAGGCTGCCAGCTGACCCAAAGGCCCCTTCCCTGTACACATGCCCACCCACATGGACCGCAGTGGACGGTGAGAAATGAGCCACTCCCGCCCAGCGTTAAACAGTGGGGGACCCTGAAAGATGTGTCCCCACTCATCAAGGGTCCGCCACAGCTGAGAAAAGGGTGCAGATGATATCCTCCAGCTCTTGGCTTTCCGCAGAAGAAGAGTGTGTGCGGTTTATAAAGGCGCTTCCCGCTGGACGCCACCCTTGGCTTGCACACGCACGCCCCGGCAGCTGCCTCTGGGCTCCCAGCAATGTCTCTCAGGGCTCTGTGTCTGAGGAAGTCCTGCCTTTCAGGCTGCCAGCCTGGGTCCATGTTGCCCGAAACCTCTGTCCTTTGTGGAACATGCATGTGGAAGATTCAAGGGGAGGAAGTAGGAAAGGCTGGGACAGGGGTCTGAGTGACCCCAACAGCACTGCATCCTTCTGAGACTTTAATCCTCAAGTTTGCATGAAGTTCAAGGTGTTTTTGTTTTTTGTCATAAAGTATCTTCCCTCTTCCCCAAGTTGGAGTGAAGAAAAAAAATGGCTTGAGCAGAGGCCAAACCCCAGATGAGTCCCAGGTCATGGACTGGAGGGTCCCCTAGAGCCCTGTGGGGCCATGAAAGTCAAGTCCTGGACAGACACATTGTCCTTTCAGTAGCTGAGACTGACAACATCCCTTCCCCTGCACGGTCACTGAGGCTGGTGGGACGCAGCTCTGACTGCCTTCACCCCGCGTCTGCTGGGGACCCACGGGGCTCTCTTCTTCAAGGCTCAGTTTGTTGGGCTCTTTCAGGGCACCCCGAAGAAAGCAGACAGACCTCCTGACTTGACCAAAGCCCCAGAGGAGCCCCAGGGCCACAGTGGGGCTCCTGACCGCACTCAGCCCCCCTCACTCAGGCTCTAAGAGGCTGGTGTGAGCTGGGGACCCAGAGCCCCAGAGAAGTGATAGGGGCCGGCGGGCTGGGGACACAGCCCCTGTGGGGGAAACCCTTCTTCCCTTAGTCGTGGGATCCAGCTCGCTTTGCTTTTCCTGCCGTTTTGTAGGACAGTAAGAGAAGAACAATTCCACGAAGCAAACACGCACCTTACCTCTGTCTCCGTCATTCTGTGTTTTCTCTGATGTTATGAAACTTAAAACGTCTAAGGCATTTTCCAGCCCTGTGGAGGGGATCCTAGCCACACCCATGGACGTTATGTGAACGTGTGTACTCAACACTCATTTCCTCCTTTTCCCAGTGGGCTTTGGAATGATTCACCAAGCCCAACCTTCCTTTACACTCAGTGGCTTTTCTAAATCAGCTTCTGTCTATAGCTCCTTCTCTTCCATACCTTCAATATCAGCGTCCCCAGGGCTTTATCCCAAGCCTGGTTCTCAGATCACTGGGCAATTTTAGCCCCATTCTGGCTTCAGTCATCATCTGAACTTAGCTTAGGAACACCAGGCCTGAGTCTAATTCTAGAGAGTGTGTGTGTGGGAGGGGGGAGAGGGAGCGATGTGGGGCGCCTGAGGGACTGCGGTCACATGGAGAGTCGAAGTGGTCACAGCAGGTCGAAGTGACATGTACATTTAAAACACAGCTTCCCAGGGTTCTGATGCACAGAGGGGCCATACGCTGACCACCCTCGCCTCACCAAACCTCTGCCTGAGACCCAGAGCTGCATCTCCAGGCCTCCCCTGAGGCCCCAGCAGCCCCCAGACCCAAGGTGGCTCTCTCCCTGTGTCTCTCCGACACCCACCCAGTCACCGAGGTTGCTCCTGGCTTCTGCTTCAATCTCGTGGCTCCCCACTTTCCCTGTCAATCAGACCCCGGCACCCAGGCACAGCAGGGCCTCCTTGGCCCACTCCCACCCCAGCTCCCTCTCTCTCCAAAACAGACTTGGGCCCTCCCCGCGGCAAAGCCCTCCCTGCCCAGGAGGTGAAACCACAGCCTTGCTGGTCTCGGCTCCACCTGGCCTGTCTTCACGGAAGCTGTTGCATCCTCGGCAAGCGAGGGGTCCCGTGGGCGGGGCTACCGCGCCACGCCCCTCCATCTGCCCAAGGGAACGCCCCTCGCCATCCGCCATTGTTTCATCTGGTCTCACATCCCAACTGGTTGTTAATGTGCCAGTTTCCCACAACAGCCAAATTCCTAATGATCCCTGGATTCACCTTAACTGCCTGTGTTTGTGTGTGGCACACAGTGGGAGCTGACTAAAGGCCTGCTAGCCCTGCCTTTTTCCTTCTAAATGCTACTTCCTGGAAACACAGTATTTGTTTCATGACATTTACAAGCAGCAACCTTCTGTCAAGGTGACCTGACTCTAACACCACCTCCTTGTTGTCCTGCAGCAGGACCGCTGCCTGGATAATAAAGGGGAACTGTAAGCCAGATAACATTTTGATTTTTCTTCCATTAAAACCAGTTTCACTTAACTTGTAGATCAAGGAAAGAACTGGATGTAAAGGGTAATAAAAATACGAGAAGAGCTTACAAAGCCCACGGGAAATACCAAGTTAGCGAAATTTAGTACTCTTATTTTGCTTAAACCCCTTGCGTCTGCATCTTTCGGAAGCTGGGCTGTTGCGTGCATCAGTTCAAACTGGTGTCCAGGGAAGTGCCCTGTGACGCGCCTCTGAGCCAGGCCTGAGGAGGGCCCGGGAGATGGAGCCTTTCCTCAGAGGCTGGATTCACCGACTTTGCCAGGTGGTTCTGACCATCTTGGGGGGAGCTTGTCCTCCCCTGAGCGGGCAGAGGCAGGCAGCCTTGGACAGACGTGCTGCCCACTCACTCCCCCAAGCCTGACCCTCCTGCTGTCCAGTTGCCTCTCCCCGCTCCCTGAGATGACAGGACAGGAGGGCCACGGGCAGTTCTCCCCTTAGGAAGTTCTAAATCGTCAAACTGTAAGTGCCTGCATTTCAGCTGTCACAATCCAGTTCCAAGCTGATTAGCTGATGGTTCTGGCTGCTCCAGACCCCACTCCACACACATCCTGTGGTGTCTGCTGGTTCTGCACCGAGTGTGGCCTGGGGGCAAGGTGGAGGTCATGCCGGGAGGCAGGGGCTGGAGCCGGACCCAGCTCAGAGCAGTCTACTGGAGGGACAGAGGGTTTGTGGTGTAAGAAGCTCGTTCCTCTGTCCCTTCCACTCTTCAAAATGTACTCCCCACCTTTCCCCACCAAAAAACCCCACAAAAAACACTCAGAGGTCATCATGCACTTCCTGGCTAATAGCCACTGCAGCTGTAAGGCTGGCAGCAGCTGAGAGCACTCACACATAGCAGAAGCCCTCTCCGTAGCCCGGCCGTGCAGTGTGGCCAGTAACCTCTGCTCCCCGAACCTCAAGCTTCTCACAGGCAGGGCTGCCCACGGTGAGAAGTGTGCACTCACCAAGCTCACGGGGCAGGCAGCCCTGCCAGGGTCCCTGGGTGGCTCCGCCGAGAACTTCTCCTTGGTCCAGCTGCCAGCCGAGACGGCTTTGCTGTTTGGGATGAAAAGTGCTACCCTCATTACTCCCAGAGTACATGACCTTCACGGAGAAGTTACTGTCCCTCCTGACAAAGGCAAGACATTCTGTAGCTGAGCAGGAGAGTGGCCCCGATTTTTAGGAAAAGGGTGTCAAGCTGGGATCTGAAGCACTATTCTGAGATAATTCCCCTGTAAGAAACTGGTCATTTGACACTGAGGGTGTGCCCTAGATTTACCAGAAATTCAAATATTGTATTAATAGGTGGACTTTGAGGTGCTTGAATTTTTAATTTCTTCTGAAGTCATTTCATTTCTTTTCAGCGGAGGAATAAATATCTGGAGTGAAATTTAATGGACGTGCTTTTGCAAGACTGTACAAACCAGAAGAAAACACGCAGCTGAGATCTGAGTTCTGGTTCAGGAAAACAAGGTCACGGTGTGGACAACGTGGTCAGAACTGAGCCCTCTTCTCTGTCAGATGAGCCAAACCAAATACAAACGCAGGTGCGTGTCTGGAACCCCTGGCATCTCCTTGAGACAGAGTCTCCTGCTGTAAAGCCAGTGGGGCAAACCTGTCTTTCTCAACAGTGCTTGCTTGGAACTGTTTATCAAAAATATTTTTATAGTACAAAGACTATAAAGAGGAAAAAACAAACAAATTAAAGCCCTTGGTTAAAGGTAAAAAGAAAAAGCTGCTAAGACCTTACAAATCTGCACTGTTTCAGCCTCAAATGATTAGAAATAAAACGCTGCTGGTCACTCCAAGGCAATGTCACACTCTGGCTCTCTGAGGGGGTTTGTTCCGGGCACAACAGGGCCTGAGGCATCTTGGCAACACATCACGAGAGGAGACGCTGATAGAGAGAAACCAGCCGCACACGGAGAAATGGCAAGTGTTCACCGGAAACTTCTGTCCCGGAGTCAGTAAGCATAACCAGGGCGAGTCCATGTGGTTTGCTGCCAGATCTAACTCCGGGCACACGGAACCGACGCTTCCAGTCTCATCCAAGGGGCTGGGGATTTACACTCACATCTTCACATGGCTCGTGTCGATGAGAGATGGTGTGTCCTTGAGCAGAAAGGATGCGCAATGTGTTTTTATAAATTTGCTTATCGTGGTCCTGTGTTGGGATGATTCTAAAGGTACAAGTTTCTTGTGGCGTTAGCTTGAGGTCATCCCAGGCATGCGGGAGGAGCACACGTGTCCCAAGGTCCCCCACGCTGGCCGCCGCGTCCTTTCCTGTAAGCTCGCATGCCTGCTCCGTGCGACGCCGAGGCTGGCAGGAGAGGCCTGGGCTGAAGAGGGTGTTTATCTGGGGTCTAACAGCAAGAAGGCGGTTTGATTCCCTCAAGAAAGTACTCAGAACGTTCTGACTTCGACACCCACTGGCTGCCACCCCGGGACCACTGTGCCTGGGGAAGACCGCCCGGCTGGCCTCCCCAGCACCACCACCCCACACACCTCCGCGGTTGCCAAGAAGGCAAGTCCACTGGCCTCACGGTCAGGGAGGGCCTTCAGTGTTTCAGCAGCCACATAAGCACTTGTCACCTTACTCTCGCTCTCCGGGGGAGGCTGGAAATGACAACACGAATGATGCCTGTCCCACACAGCCCGCAGCTCCACTGTGGTGCCCTGGGTGGTCAGTCTCAGACAGGGACAAAGACAAGGCTTTCTCTTAGGAACCTTTAGAAAGAGGCCCATTAACCAGAAGTGGAATAAGTGACAGGAAAATACAGAGCAGGCCAGGGAGCAGCAACTTGTGCCCCACATCAGTGAGAAGCGGCACCTGCAGACTTTAGTATGCATCATAAGTGGGGAGCACAAAAGGTATTTAAAAAACCCCAACGTCACCCCGACACGGAATAGCAGGTGGTTATTCACAGACACATTCGCAATGCAACAGTAACCCCTGAGCCCCGCCTCTTCTCCGAAAACAGCCAAGCTTGTCGGGGCCCACGTTCAGTGGCCAGCTTTGGGTAGGTTTTCGGTGCCATGAGGCCACCTGGGCAATAAAGCTGTCCTCAAAGCCTCACCGGGGGGGGAACTGTGCAGTTTAACCCTGAGCCCCAGCCTGTGCTTGGAAAGCACTGCCATTCTTCCAAAATGGACGCTGACAGAAGAATACAAAATAAGAAAGGTGATCATAAATCAAATCACAAAAGAGGTGACCCCCAACAGCCCGTTTGAAAAAAATCAGGTTTTGTTCTCATCATACATGTCCAAAGAAGGCTCGATCGTGGAGAAGTCACTTTCGTACACCAGGCTCCGAGGGGACAGAGAGTTCCGATGGAAGACGTGACCGCCTGGAAAGGGAACACGAAGCACAGGCTTAATAGGTCGTCAGGCCGCACTCCCCACGTGGCTTGAGGGAAAGAACGTGGATTATCGTCAAAGCATCATGTTTTCTCAAATATCTCTATTTTGGACTCTCATGGCTGAAAGAACGCAGGCGTCCCTCAGTGCACACAAACATGTGAGTCCCAGTGTTGGGGTCCCTGAGATTAGCCGCTGGGGCTCTCCGAGTAAAGGCTGCCTGGTGCTCTGAGAAAGACTCCTCTCACACGTGTGAAGACTTCCGCCTTGGGGCACATGATCACGTGGCGAGCTACCAAACCGCCTGTCTGAGCACCTGTTTTGGGGGAGGCTGGGGGTGGGCACAGAGCCCCTTCCTCAGCTGGGCAGATGGGGTTGCGACCTGGGGGCTCTGATCATGCATTAAAAAGTTTCTATTTGTTTTAAAGTTATACCTCCACATGGTTAATTCTACACAAGTCAAAACCTGTCATCTCCAGCCCCTTTCTCGCAGGCGGCCACTTTAAGCCAGTCTATGTCTCTGAGTAATGTGCCTTTGTCAGTCCTTCCTACTTCTTTGTCTTAGACTTTATCTCCTGCACCCCTACTATGGAAAATGAGGATTTCCTCCTCATCTTCCCCTCTACCATCCACACATACTTTCCATTGCTCCAATATAACTATATTTTGATTAAAAAATCCGATGTTTACATTATTTGACTCTTTCGGCTATTCAGAGCTAAGCCATATTTACTCTGGCCCTTCCTTTTCTGGATAAGTGTTTGTTTTTATAGCCTTATTGAAGTGTATGTGATTCACCAAAATGCACACCCCTGAAGCCATCACCAGAATCGAGACAGTGAACACCTTCATCCCCCCCAAAGTTTCCTGGTGCCTCTGAGAACTCCTCCTCTTCTCCAGCCCTACTCCCATCTCCACATAAATCACAGATTAGTTTGCAGCTTTCTAGAATTTTATTTAAGTGGAAGCATAGTGTGATTTATTGGCGCTTTCAAATAAAGCTGCTGTGTGTACAAGTCTGAGCGTGGACACGTGCCGTCCTTCCTCTCAGGGAGATACCTAGGGGTGGAATGACTGGGCAGGTGCACACTTGCTTTTCTCAGTGGTTGTACCACTGGGCGCCCACCAGCAGCACAGGAGAGCTCCAGGTGCTCGGCAGCCTCATCGACATCTAGATGGTCACCTTCTGCATTTCACCCACTCTCGCAGGCGTGCAGTAGTAGCTCACTGCGGGTTTAGTCTGCATCTCCCTAATATTTGGCATATTTTCATGTGCTTTTTGGCCAATTGTATATCTTCTTTTGTGAAGCATTTTGTTCAAACCTTTTGCCTGCTAAAAAAATGTAGTTGTCTTCCTATTACTGAGTTGTAAGCATTTAAAAATATATATATATTCTAGAAACAAGTCCTTTGTCAGACATATGCTTTGCAAATATTTTCTCCCGGTCTGTGGCTTGCCTTTTTATTTGCATAACAATGCCCTTTGAAAAGCAGAAGTTTTAAATTTTATTAAAATCCAATTTATTGATTTTTTCCCCTTTTATAGTGTGTCCTTTTTGTGTCAGAATATAAAAAAATCTTTGCCAAATCCAAAGTCATTACAATTTTTTCCTGTGTGTTCGGGCAGAAGTTTTATATTTTTGGCTCTTACATTTAGATGATCCACTTCAAGTACGTTTTTGTATATGGTGGGAAATAAAGATTGAAGTTCAGTTTTTTGCTTTTGGATATTCAATTGTTCCAGCGTCATTTGTTTAAAAGATTATCCTTTTCCGACTGAACTGCCTTGGTACTTTAGTTGAAAAATCTATTGATCAATGTGTATGGTCTTTTTGGGGCACTATTTTGTTCCAATTTGTTTGTCTACTTTACATTAATACAACACTGTCTTGATTACTACAGCTTTATAAGTCTTGGAATCAAGTATTATAAGTTTTTCAACTTTGTCCTATTTTTCAAGTGGTATGATGGGCAGGGAGGAGAGGAAGGCTGGTACAAAGAGTACAGACAAGTATCAAATGAAAGTATTTCATGCACTACTGTGAGTAATAGGACCCCTTCTATTTTCTTTTTTAACTTTCCTATATTAAAAACATCTGCATTTAAAAAACTCAGATGAATTCAAAGATGCTTGCTGTCTGCACAAAGCAGCCCTCCAAGAGTGGTCCCAAGTAAGAGGTGGATGTTTGAGCTCAGGCAGCTGAGCATTACTTAGCCCCAGAGGAAGCTGCATAATCCAACAGGGCTGAAGGGTTAAAGACTTAAAAATAGAAACAAAGAAACAAAAGACACCCAGCAAAAGATGAAGAGGTTTCCTTTTCTGCAGGAAGAACTAAAGCCACCAGAGATGGAAATGACCTAACTTTTTGTGTTAGTAACGGATCAGCTGACACCAAATCTTTGGTAATAAAAAGTGGGTCAGAATTTAGTCAGTAATCTACTCAGCTGTTAACAAGTTTACTTGAGAAAAATATAATATCAAGAGAGGAACACATAAGCAGCTAAATTAAAAAAAAAGAAGCAGAAAGCACAGCGTATTTTTCAACACCTGGAAACACACCCTATCTACTGATTAACAGATCATTATGTTTGTTATTGCTTACATAATAACAAACGTTATTAAGTAACGTCTTAATTGAGGTATAACATATATATAGATATGCACAAGTCATAAGCATGTAACTCAGTGAATCCCCACAGAGAGAACACACCCATGAAATCACTGGATCCAGAGCTAGACCCTCTCATCTACAAAGCAGAAAGGCTCGCAGACACAGTAAACAACCTTACAGGTACCGGGGGAAAGCGGGTGGGAAGGGATACATTCGGGAGTTTGAGATTTGCAAATGTTAGCCATCATATATAGAAACAGATAAAGATCAGATTTCCTCTGTACAGCACAGGGAACTGTATTTAATATCTTGTAATAACCTTTAATGAAACAGAACATGAAAATGAATATATGTGTGTATATGCATGACTGGGACATTATGCTGTGCACCAGAAATGGACATATTGTAATTGACTACACTTCAAGAAAAAAAAAAAAGAAACCTAAAAAAAAAAAAAAAGGACCAGCACCCACCAGCACCCTACACGGACCTCTGCTGATGTCAATCATTAGGACCTCTCTTCTCCAAAGAAAACCACAATCCAGACCTTTTCAGAGTTTTTATTTTCTGTTTCATGTTTTACAGAAACAGAAAATAAAAGTGAACAGAAAAGAGCGTATGTTCGTTTGTGTCTGGACCCTCTCGGACAAGGCTATGTTGGGATACTCATCCATGTCCCTGGATAGGGCAGCAGTTTGTTCGTCTTCCTGGCTGCCTGATACTCTGCCGTGTGACTGCCCCACACTTTGTCTAACCTTCTGCTGATGGACATTTGCGTTGTTGTCTCCATCTGGGAGCCACTGTGAACACTGCTATTAGGAACAGCCTTGCGCCTCTCCTTTGTAAACATAAGCACGCAGCTCTTTTGGGCTGCACCAAGGCGGGTGGCTCTCCCAGGGCACGCGAGTCCTGGCAGTCCGAGCAGACACCGGCGGCTTTCCAATCTTTCCCCCCGGGTAGATGAGAATTCCAGTTGTCTTGCATCTACACTCATACTTGGTGTTTTCTGACTCGTTCATTTTTTCACTTCTGGTGGGTATATAATAGTTATTTCCCTGTGGTTTTAATTTACATTCCCCTGATGACTGAAAAGGGTGAGCGCTTTTCCACATGCTTTTGGGCTATCTGTACATCTTGCTCATCTTAAAATGTGTGCTTATTTCTTTCGCTCATTTTTTTGTCAGGCTGTCGGTCTTTCCCTTCTTTGTCCTGAGTATGAGTCCTTTGTCAGAAGTACTTCTTAGGACATTACGTAAGTAATATGTATGAGTTATTACATTGTTACAAGTATTACAGGTTATCTTCTTCCAAAAAAGCATATTCTGATAAACAGAGTTTCTCAGTTTTAGTGTGGACCAATTTACCTATCTTTTATCTTATGGTTAGAGCTCTCTGAGACCTGTTTAAGGAACTGCATATCCCAAGGTTTTGAAGATTGTTTTGCCTTTCACATTTAGGTCTATGCTCTACTTCAAATTCATCTTTGAGTATGGTGTGAAGTAGGAATCAAGATTCGTTTCTCTCTCTATAGATTTTCGGGTGACCCAGCACCATTTATTGGAAAGCCCATCCTTATCCCCACTACTACACAGAGCTACCTTCGTATGAATCAAGTGTCCAAAAATGCATAGTTGTTTTGGGGACCATATTCTGTTCTGCTAAGCCATTTGTCCATCCCTGCATCAACCCCTCACAGTCTTAATTACTATACCTTTATAAAACCCCTTAATATCCAGTTCTGTAAAATCCTTCCACTTTATCATTCTTCAGGACTTGTTATTTTTGGTCCATTTCATTGCCACGCAAATTTTACAGACAGCTTCTCAAGTTTCTCTCTAACACACACACACACAACCCTCCTGGGATCTGACTGAAACTTCAGTGAATATATAGGTCAGTCTGGGGAAAATTAACATCTTTATACTATCCAGTCTTAAAAACCTGTCAACTTAGCATGTCCATTTATTTAGGTCACCTTAAATTTCTCTCAATAATGCTTGATAGTTTTCTGTGCAGAGCTCTTACACATATTCTTTTAGATTTATTCCTTATTACTTGATGTATGTTCGATGCTTTTGTAAATGGTATCATTTTGAAAATTTCATTTTTAATTGTTTATTATTGGCATATAGAAATACAGTTGACCCTGCTAAATTTACTCACTCATTTTAAGAGCTGATGTGCAGAATCTTGTATTACTATGCTGTTTGTAAATAGTTTTATTTCTTCCTTTCCAATCCTTACACCTTTTGTTTCTTTTTCTTGTCTTATCACATGGCTGAGAATACCAATAAAATGTTGGAGAAGTCAAGGGGGTATCTCGATTGCCAACCTTAGGGAAAAGTTTTAAATATTTCATCATTAAGCATAATGTTTGCTGAAGTTTTGAAAATACTCACTATTAGATAAGGAAGTGTTCTTCTTCCTCTAGTTTGCTAAAAGTTCGTTTCTTTTAAAATCAGGAGTGGGTGTTGAATTTCAGCAAATGCCTTTTCCATATCTATTAAGATAAAAACATGGCTTCCCACTTCTATTCTGTTAATGTGTTGAATCACACTGATTTTCAACTTTGCACTTTAAAATAAATCTAACCTGGTTATTTTTTCCTACTTATACATTGTCAGATTTATTTAGCTAATATTTTATTTAGAATATTTGCATCTATATTCATAAAGTGAATTAACCTGTACTTTTCTTTTCTTGTCTTTGTCATGATTTGGTGTTAATGTCATGCTGGTATCATTGAAAGGCTTGGAAGTGCTCCTCTTTCTCTGTTCTCTGGACAAACCTGTGTAAGGCTGTTGTTATTTCTTCCTTAATGTTATAAACAATTCACCAGTGAAACCATCTAGGCTTAGAGTTTTTAAAAATTTTAATTATTATTTTTATTAAAGTATAGACAATATTATTATATTAATAATATTATGTATAACATTATATTAGTTTCAGGTGTACAACATAGTGATTCAGTATTTTTATAGATTATACCTGATTTAAAGCTATAAAATACTGGTTATATTCCCCATGCTGCCCACTGTATCCTTGTATCACATTTGTTTTATACGTAGTAATCTGTAACTCTTAATCCCCTACCCCTAGAGTTTTTCTTTGAAGGAGTGTTTTAAACCAGGGATTTAATTTATTACCTAGATGTGGAATTCAGATCTCCTGTTTCTTCTCTCAGTGTTGGTGCTTTGTATTTTTCAAGGAATTTTTCCATTTCATTTACATTTCAGAGATTACTAACATAAGTTGTCATAATACTTTCATTATTTTATTACAGTAAAAAATACATAACATAAAATTTGCCATCTTATCCTTTTTAAGTGTGTAGTTGAGTAGTGTTAAGTATATTATATTGTTGTGAAACAGATCTGCAGAACTTTTTCATCCTGCAGATCTGAAATCTGTACCCCCTTAACAACTTCCCTTTCACCCCTTCGCTCTAACCTGGTAGCCACCATTTGACTTTCTGTTTTTATGAACTTTATAATCATTATTTTTAATGTGTGTAGGCTCTGTAGGGATGTCCCCCTTTCTGCTCTTCTTATGGGTCATTTGAGTCTTTTCTCTTGATCAGCAGAGGTTATCAATTTTATTATTCTTTTCAGAGAAACAACTTTATGCTTGGTTGATTTTTTTTCTATTGTATATTTGTTTTCTATTAAATTATTTTATTAGCATTATTATCGCCTTTGTTTGATTCAGTTTGTTGTCCTTTAATTGAGAGGAATGCTTCTAACACTGATCTTCTAGCCTTTCTTCAGTTCTAATACACGCACTTAAGGCCACAAATTTCACTCCAACATTGCTTTAGCTGCATCACACAAGTTTTGATATATTGTGATTTTATTGGCATTCAGTTAAATTTTAAAACTTTAAAAACAAGTGCAATTTCTTTGACTCATGAGTGTTTTAAGAAATATATTATTTGATTCCAATAATTTAGGAATCATTTCAATTATCTTTGTGTTTTTGATTTCTAACTTAATGCCACTGGTCAGAAAACATACTCTGCATGATTTCAGTTCTTACGTATTTGTTGAAATTTGATTTAACACCCAGAATATGGTCTATTTTAGTAAATGATCTATGTGTTCTTGAAAATAATATATATCCTATAGTCAATTACATATTACTTATTGTGTTGTTCAAATCTAGATCCGTAATGAGTATTTTTCTGCTTGTTAACAAGAGATGTGTTTAAAAATCCCATTATGATAGTGAAACTGTCTATTTTGCTTTTTAGCTGTCAATTTTTCCTTCATGTATTTTGAAGACATATCAGGTACACAAATTGAGAACTAGTTTCTTCATGACGGACTCTTTCATCATTATGAAACGTCCCTCTTTATCTTAAAGCATATTTTGCCTTTTACTTATATAAATTTTCTTTTGGTTAATACTTACATGATATATATATTTCCTATCATTTTACTTCCAACATTTCTGTATCCGTATATTAAAGAAATATCACACATAGATGTTTGTATGTAAATTTTGTATCTAGTCTAATTTTTGAGTATTTAAGCATCCATTTACATTCATTAATGACATATTAGGATTTAAACCTATCATTTTATTGTTTTATATTTATCCCATTCTATGTTAATTATTTTTATTTTTAAATTTTAATTATTCCTGGAAATGCAAGTGTCTTAAGGTACTTTTATTCTATTTATCCTCTCCCATCTTTTGTGCAATTAATGTTGACTAATTTTCATAAGACATTAGTGTTCTGTACATCAATTATCACTTTATCCACATATTTACCCTTTCTGTTGCTCTCGAATCTTCCTGCATCTCCATGTTTTTATCTGAAATAATTTTTCTTCTGTCTGAAGAACTCACCCTTGGTGTTTCTGTTTATTGGAAAATGCCTTGTTTCGTCTTTATTTTTGATGAATTTTTTTCCTGAGGTTTTTAGGTTGGCAGGTTTTTTCCCCCCTAACATTTCATTACACTGTTTTCTGGTTTTTATCATTTCTTTCAAGACACTGTCAGTCTTCTGCTGCTACTTTAAAATTAATATATTTCATATTGAAAAGGGAAAAACAAAGTTGGAAAACTCACATTTCTCGATTTCAAACTTACTACAAAGCAACAGTAATCAATACCAGGTGATACAGGCAGAAAGGCAGACACAGAGATCAATAAAATAGAATATATTATGCATTATGCTCAACTGATTCTTGACAAAGTTATCAAGACCATTCAACAGGGAAAAAAGAATAATCTCTTTAACAAATGGTACTGGGACAAATGGATATTGACAGGCAAAAGAATGAATTTGGACCTCTCCCTCCTATCATATACGTACATTAATTCACAATGGATGAAAGACTAAAGTATAAAAGCTAAAACTATAAAGCTCTTGGAAGTTTCTGCAACCTTGAATTAGGTAATGGGTTCTTAGATATGACTCCTAAAACACAAACAACCAAAGAAAAAAGACAAATTGGACTCCATTAAAATACCCCCAAAACAGAAGACTTGTATTTCAAAAGATACCATCAAGAAAGTGAATGGAACTTATAGGAGAAAATATTTGCAAACTGTTTTTCTAAGGGCCTAGTATCTGGAATATATAAAGAACTCTTACAACTCAGTAATAAAAAAATAAGTCCAAGGGGGAGGGTATAGCTCCGTGATAGAGTGCATGCTTAGCATGCATGAGGTCCTGGGTTCCATCTCCAGTACCTCCATTAAAAAAAAAAGATATAGATATAGATAAACCTAATTACCTCTCCCCCAACAAAAAGCTTAAAAAAATAAAAATTAAAAAAGTCCAAAAAATGGGCAAAGGACTTAGATCTATTTCTCTAAAGATATACAAGTGGTCAAAAAGCACAGGAAGATGCTCACCATCATTACTCATTAGGAAAATGCAATGAAAACAATAATGAGGAGCCACTTCACACCCACTAGACATGGCTGTAATTTTTTTTAAAAAAGGTAAATAATATGCACTGGTGAGGATGTAGAGAAATTGGAACCCTTGCACATTGCTGGTAGAAATGTGAAGTTGTACAGTGCTTAGAGAACACTTTGGTAGTTTTTTAGTAAGTTAGAGTTAACATACACCTCAGCAATTCTATTCCTAGGGATCTATCCAAAAGAACTGTAAAGAGTATGTTGACACAAAAATGTGTATACAAACGTTCATAGCAGCATTATTCATAACAGCCAAAACGTGGAAACAACACAAATGTCCACCAATGTATGCATGGATCAATGAAGTGTGGTGTACAGCCATACAATGGAATAGTATTCAGCCCTGAAAAAGCATGAGGTACTGATACATGCTACAACTGGATGAACTTTGAAAACATTATACTAAGTGAAAGAAGTGAGACACAAAGGCCACATATTGTATGATTCTGTCCCCATGAAATGCCCAGAACAGGCAAATCCAAAGACAGAGAGTAGATTAGCGGTCTCTGGGCTGGCAGTGGGGGTGACAGGGGTGAGAGGTTACAGTTCATGGTATAAATAAGGCTCTTTTGGGGATGATAAAAATGTTCTAGAATTAGATAGTTGCAATGGTTGTACAACCTTGTGAATATACCAAGAATTACTGAAATGGTTTACCCTTTAAAAGAATAAATATTATGGTGTGTGAATTATATCTCAATAAACAAAG